AAGGTGAAAAATCAGTACAGACACACACACAAACACACACACAGAGCCCCTCGATAATATGCGTTTTAGCATTGTATAGATGTAAATCATTGGCGACGAGCACTGGGCGGGCCCGTGCGATCATGCGTTTTTGCAGTGTTTCGTGCTGTAACAAGATCACTCGAAATTACGCTAGCTAGAAACCTCTTGTACACAATGTTCCTCGAATTTCGGGAAGTTAATTATCCACGCTATATTTGGGCAGAAAACATTCCCTTGAAATTCCAGATTCCCAGCTTTCTCAGTTACCGAGTTACCCAAATCCCAGCCAGAAAATTTCACGGGGCCGTACGTGGCAACCACGCATAACGGGGGGCTGAATTTCATAAATTTAAGTTGTAGATGAGCTGCGAACATTTCCTGGCAGTTCCAGCCTCCTAGCTTCCCTGGTTCCGGAGTTATCCATTTTCTCGCCAAAAACTTTCACGGGGTCGTACGTGATAACCATGAACAACGGGGGGAGGGGGGAGGCGGCTGAATTTCATAAATTGAAGTTGTAAATGAGTTGCGAACATTTTCTGAAAGTTTCAGCCTCCCAGCTTCCCTGGTTCCGGAGTTATCCATTTCCTCGCCAAAAACTTTCACGGGGCCGTACGTGGCAACCATGCATAACGGGGGGCTGAATTTCATAAATTTAAGTTGTAGATGAGTTGCGAACATTCCCTAAAAATTTCAGCCTCCCAGCTTTCTTGGTTCTCGAGCTAGTTATTTTAACGCCAGGAACCCTCACGGAGCCGTATGCGGGAAAAGCGCCCACCTGGGGGCTGAATTTAAAATCTTTGAGTTGTATATGGATGGGGAACATAATCCCAAAATTTCAGCTTCCTAGCTATTCTGGTTCCCAAGTTAACGATTTTCCCGCCAAAACTTTGAGGCGCTCGTACGCGGAGCCTAGACGTACTAGAGGACTGGTACCGCGGGCCTGGGGTGGCACTTGGCCGGGAAACACACGAGCAAAATTTTGAGGCCCGAGCTTGCTTGGGTGCCGAGTTGAAATACCCGGACACACACACACACACACACACACACACA